CAATCCACAATGACCGCGTCCAAGACACTTTGTTTCATTCCTGTTCCAACCCATCCATTTCTCTCTCTCTCTCTCTCTCTCTCTCTCTCTCTCTCTCTCTCTCACACACACACACACACACAGCCAGTAGCATTCTATGGCTACTGAGCATGCTCAGTCTTCATTGGGCTGTCTTGAGATATGGTTCCTCACCCCCTTTTTGGTTTCTCACTCCCCCTGAAAAGCAGGACAGATGATCACACTAGAGAGGATAGGCCAAAGAAGGCTTCAAATGATGTAAAGGAAATTCACCTTAGTGTGGTACAGTGGTTAGAGTGTCAGACTAGGACCTGGGAGAGTTCAAATCCCCACTGAGCTAGAAGCTCATTATTGTATACAATAAATCTCCGTCCACAGAGACAACTAGACCACTGTTTTGGGTTTCTCTTTATCTTCATCATATCTTCATCTCTTTATCATATGGAAGTTGCAAGTGCCAGGGGTGTGGCTTTAGGGCGCTGCCTAGGGTGGCAGTTGACACACCGCCCGAAAAAGAGGATATGCACCACTGTAAAAGAGGACCACCAATCTGCATAGAATTTGCATGTGCTAATTTATATGCATCTAAATGCAAATTTGAAATTAATTAGCAGAATTTGAATTTCACAGAAGGGAAGCCAATTACTTACCCATGCAAATCACTCCCCTCAAATCTTTAAATTGATTTGCACCCCAATAAGATCACCCAAATAAGTTCTTACTCAATTAATTTATCACTGAGATCATCCAGAAATCAATCTGAAATCAATTTCCCTTTATTAACTACCCCCATTCAATTCAATCATCACATCATTACCCCACTAATAAAACTCAAAATAAATAGGGCGCACATTGTGATTCCCTTCAGGTGGTAGGGGGGGATTTTTATTGCTAGTCAAGGTGGACAGTGGGTGGTCTGTCTTTTCCTTTTCTGTCCCCACCCACATTAAAATAGAAGGCAAATTAACTCTGTGTAGGGGCAACCATCTCTCTCTCTCCATGTGTGTAACAAATTCCCTGGAAAGGAAATGAAAATTGCCCTTCTGAGACGCAGACGTTGAAGTTTCAACTCACAGAGCATCAGCAGTGAGTCTTTCTTTCGGCTCAAGTAAGGGGGGGGGAAGAAGAGGGAGAAAGCTGGACCATCCATTGGCACATCATCCCCTCCCGTGTCTCTGGCACTGGACATAGGGAAAATCTATTCCTGGATATCCATTTAAATATTGGGCTATTTCATAGGAGAGAGGACACCTTACCATGTTGTCACTGCACCACCCCTTCATCCATGTGCTCGCATACACTTGCAGGAGACTAGAATGCACACTTATGTATCACAACAAAATAGGAAATGCATCGCTGGTGAAGAGGGTGGATATTTACATAAAACTTGCGTATGCTAATCTATGTGCGTGGGAGCCAATTTAGAAAGTTATTTGTGTATAGGCATAGCTACAAACTTAGAAATGCTGGCTGTCATTTAAAGAGAAATATAGCACATCTCCATAGTGGGGAAGAGAGTGGCTAGGGGGCTGATGTGCCTGCTCAGTTCAGTTCTAAAGGTCCTCGCACTTCTTTCTTTTGGTACTTCTTCTTTACACCAGACTTGGGCTGGACAGCCCTTCAAAGGGAAGACTGTCCTACAGGTCACAGTAGTGGGGATAAGCTGAAGAAGGGACTCAGTATAATGTCAAGGAGATAAATTTAGCTTACACTTTCCCCATAGTGTTGTGTAGTGGTTAGAGTGCCACACTAGGGCCTGTGAGACCACAGTTTCAGCCGGTGGGGTGAGGACAGCCCAACCCAGCCACTGCCCCTCAGCCTAACCTACTTCATAGGGTGGTTGTGAGGATAAAACGAGGGGCGCAAGAACCATGCACTCCTTGGAGGAAAAGGCAGTACAGTGGTACCTCAGGTTAAGTACTTAATTCATTCCGGAGGTCCATACTTAACCTGAAACTGTTCTTAACCTGAAGCACCACTTTAGCTAATGGGGCCTCCCACTGCTGCTGCTGCTGCGCCGCCGAAGGCCAATTTCTGTTCTCATCCTGAAGCAAAGTTCTTAACCTGAAGCAATATTTCTGGGTTAACGGAGTCCGTAACCTGAAGCGTATGTAACCCGAGGTACCACTGTATATGGATGTCATAAATACATAAATGTGATAGGATTTTTGTCGCTGCTGCTGTTGTTGTCAGGCAGCCTTGACCAATCATTTTCCTTCCAGGTGTTTCGGGCCACAACCACAGCTGTCTGGAGTTGATGGGAGTTGTAATCTGAAACATCTGGACGGAAAAAGCTTGGTCAAGGCTGACATGAGCCATCTCCAATTTATGTGACCCTTACCTGTGGCCTGAAACCATGCTGTCCGAACCTAGGCTTGCCCCCACAGTGAGAACATGCAGTAGCACCTGGTGTGTAATTGATTTCCTCCAATCTCTGGGCAAACCCTAAATATCAAGCTAAGTGAGGCAGCTTTTCCTCTTCTCCTCTTGGCACTCGAACTGCACTCCTACATTGCTTTATCTTGAGCCTTATTGTTGTGATAGATGAGATGCAATGTGTTCGCGGGGGGAAAGCGGCGAGAGAAAATAATTACTTAAGTCGGACAGAAACTCCTTGGCGTGTTGCAGTCCATAAACCTCATCTGTCTACCTCCAGGAGCAGTGTGTTGTGGGGGGAGGTCCCCCCCCCACTTTGCACAAAGCGCACAAAGCTTTGCATTCAGCCTGGCAAGCTCAAATCCATCACCGTCGAAGTGCTGCGACCGAGGAGCGCCATGGCATCTGAAATGACTGGGCTGGAAATTAAAGATAGCTCAGAGTGCCGATGAAGTGCCTGTGAAAAGAGGCAATTCCACACATCTGCCGGCAATCAGCGCTTATTCTGAAACACCCTTTTCATCACCCCACACCTAGCCTGCTTCTTGAGCGGTCCTGGGCTTTCTTTCTTTCAAGTTTCAGAGGCCGGCCCACTTGGCAATCTCATCGCAAGAATGTGCATACCCCTATTGTCACTGCGTAGGACTCTTAAGAGCTGGAATTGTTGAATAGTCTCCGGCAATTCAATTTGTCTAATCCCCAGATGACAGTGAGCTGTGATTTACAGTGGACAGTTCAAGGGGAAAGGGGAATTGTCCCTCACACTTCAGCCCGGTTTATCCATGGCATAGAATCAAGCAATAATCAAGTTTTACTGTGATTGTACCTCTTCAGTCTGTAGGGACGTGGGTGGCACTGTGGGTTAAACCACAGAGCCTAGAACTTGCTGATCAGAAGGTTGGCGGTTCGAATCCCCGCGACGGGGTGAGCTCCCATTGCTCGGTCCCTGTTCCTGCCAACCTAGCAGTTCGAAAGCACGTCAAAGTGCAAGTAGATAAATAGGTACCGCTCCAGCGGGAAGGTAAACGGCATTTCCATGTGCTGCTCTGGTTTCACCAGAAGCGGCTTAGTCATGCTGGCCACATGACCCAGAAGCTGTACGCCGGCTCCCTTGGTCAATAAAGTGAGATGAGCGCCGCAACCCCAGAGTCGGCCATGACTGGACCTAATGGTCAGGGGTCCCTTTACCTTTACCTTACCTCTTCAGTCTACAGCAGGTGGGATAAATCTTTGGCCCTGCAGATCCTGATGAACTCCAACCCCCATCGGACCCTGCAAGCATGACCAACATCCAAGGATGATGGGAGTTGTAGTTCACCAACATATGGAAGATTTCCCACACCTGGCCTACAGATAGAAGCAGAGCCGGCCTTTGAAGTGGGGTGAGGTGGCTGCCTCAGGCAGCAGAAGTGCAAGAGATGGTTTCCACCTGCCCCACCGCTTCTGCCACCAGCAGAATGCCCCCTCTCACTGGAAGCGTTCCAGTGTGTGGCGTTGTCTTCCCCACTCCTCAGGGATGGGGAGGGGACATTCCAGCGCACCATGTTGCCACTCGTCTTCCCCACTCCTGGGGCAGAGAAGGTGAGCATCAAAGCCTTGTGGAAATCTCACCGAGTTTGGCAAGCATGTGTATGTTCTGGCATGCAGAGGAAGTGGAGGGCAGGGCATAGCAGCAGTGTGGGGGCAGGAAGTGGTACATTCCTTTTTTCTCCTCAGGTTGCAAAACAGGGTGGGTCGCCTGTGAAGAGGAGCTCTTTAGTACTTGCTAGTTTGTAAGGTGGCAGAGGGACAGGCACACTTACCTCTGCCATGTCTATAATGCATTATCTCTACACCAGTGGTGGCCAAACTTGGCCCTTCAGCTGTTTTTGGACTACAACTCCCATCATCCCTAGCTAACAGGACCAGTGGTCAGGGATGATGGGAATTGTAGTCCCAAAACCTCTGAAGGGCCAGGTTTGGCCACCACTGCTCTACACAGACACCTGCTTGTGTTCAGAGCCTCCTTCTGCTGAAGTACACAAATGGTATGATTCAGGTTTCTGTATGTACAGATGCCCACCTCACATGGCATATTATGACTGGTAGAGCCTTTGCCCAGTCTTTAATTTCAAGATGCTTCCAGCTCTGCCCTAGGATAATTGCATAGCCTGGGGCAAGCGACTCAAAGGGAGGTCCCCATCTGTAAAATGGGAGCAGGATTGTAAAGCGCTAAGTAGCATATAAATGAAGGATAAAATACTATTTGACAGTATGTTTGGACATGGAGGCTGGGACTGAGCGCTTCCCTCATGCCTTGGGTTGGCAGAAATGAGGAGCAATTAGCCAGTTGAGACCCAGTCAGTTGCAGCAAGCAGTGTCTGACTAAATTCCCCAGTGGCAAATAATATTAAGCAAAAACACCACTACCACACAATCCTGGGAAATGGTGTAATTTATATGCAAATAAACAATGGCGGTTGTCTTTCTCCCCATATCGCCTCTAACTTGAGATTCAAATGCAGCTAGGGAAGAGTTGGGCTAGGAAGCTACAATCTGGAAGTCTTTGCAAAGCCGAAGGCTCCTCGCTTCTGTGCCTTCATGTCCTTCTCTCCCATTCAATGCAGGTGATTATCTGAGCTGCAGCAGCTCCCCGTGCCAAAATGGGGGGACCTGTGTCAATGAGAGGAAGAGCTTTGTCTGCGCTTGCCGCTATCCTTTCGGAGGAGCCAACTGCAGCATGAAGATGGTGGCGGAAAACGCTCCTACAAGTATAGGCGAGTATAAGTACGACCTAAGCCATCCCTTTGCCTGTGCCTCTTCTGCTATAGATCAGAGATTACGAGACCCAAGTTCCCTCTCCTAGTTCCTCTCGACAAAAGCTCCCCAGCGGCAGAGTCGTGGCTTTCTCTCTCTCCTTTAAAGCACTCGGTTCATGATGAGAGTCCGCAATCCCCCGGTTTTGATGCGTCCCACATCACAAAGTATAAAATTTGATTTCTTTCACAAGCCTGTCCATAAAAAAAAATAATAGCAAGCAGCTCTATGGAGGAATTGAACAAGATGGTTGTCAGCCGAGCAGCGCTATCATAAATAGGCCAGAGCAAGCTGGCAATTTTTTTGTTACAGAGGCTGTGAAATTGCATTATTGGGAAATTACGCGTTTGACTAAGGCTGCGCCTTCCATTTCAAAATAAAAATAAATAAATAAATAAATAAATAAAGGCAACGGACATTCGAGGTCTGTGTGTGCCGCAGAAGTTCCTTTCTCACATTCCCTCAGGAGGGGAGAAAATGGAATTGGTGCCTCTTGCCTGTGGTTCTTCATGAGTTCAGGAAAAGGTGTGAATCGCACTAGTTTATGTACAGTGAGATGCATGTTGGCTCTGTTATGTACTGAGTTCAATAGGATTCAGAATGCAGCAGTCTGATTGGTCCTAGAACAATAGGATTCAGAATGCAGCAGTCTGATTGGTCCTAGAACATTAGGATCCAGAATGCATCAGTCTGATTGTCTGATTGGTCCGCAGGAGCCACCCAATCCAGCTCCAGGTGGAAGGGAATCCGCAACCTGATTGGCCTACAGGAGAATCCCGGAATTAGCCAATCAAGTGGGGCCCAATCTGTAAATAATGTATATAAGGCAGACATTCTGGGGGAACTCCCATTCCTCCTCACCACTATGAGCTGAATAAAGAGCATGAAATCCACTCTCGACTCTGAGTATATTTCAGGCTCCATCTGCATAAAAGGGATCTCTGAAAAAGACTCATCCCTTCTTCGTGCAGCACATAGCTAAACTATGGAACTCGCTCTGACAGGAGGCAGTGATGGCCAGCATCTTGGATGGCTTTAAAAGAGGATTAGACAAATGTAATCATTTCACCATGTTGCTCGTTACATGTTCTCAGCACCATAGGTGCTGGCTCCCTGGGGCGCTGGGTGCCCAAGCACCCACAAAATTCCCCACGAAGGGGCCAGGTACCCACAAATTTTGGCACCAGAGCCATACACGCTGCATGGCACACATGTCCCTGGACACCCAGGGTCGTGGGGCCACGCTGGCACTCCTGCTCAGCTCCTTTGGACCATTTTGCACAGTGTGCAAGCAACAACTCGGAGCAGACACTCAATAGGGAGCCACAGGGAGTCTCATGAGGACAGGGTCAGTTCCAAGGTGGGTCTCTCCTTCATCACTTGGCAACCCTGGCAAACGTCCCTGAATGCAGAAGCAGCAGTCAGTGGCAGCAGCCCTCCGATGGATCCGCCATTTTTCATTTCCCACAGTGGCTCCAATGAAGCATCATTCTGGGGCATTCTGGGAAATTAGAAGAGGAGCTCCCAGACTCAGCTGCCCAGGGCAGTCATTGGGGATGGGGGTAGAATCATAGAATTGTAGAGTTGGAAGGGACCATGACGGTCATCTATTCCAACAGTGTCACATCTTCCATTTTTAGGCATTCACCTCAAATTTATTAGATGTCTCCCTCCCAAAGTGATTTGTGAAATGTCCCTTAAGTGAGTTACAACATTTGTAACAAAAATAATACAGTGGTACCTTGGGTTACAGACTTTTCAGGTTACAGAAGCTTCAGGTTACAGACTCCGCTAACTCAGAAATAATACCTTGGGTTAAGAACTTTACTTCAGGATGAGTACAGAAATCACGAAGCGGCGGCGCAGCAGCAGGAGGAGGCCCCATTAGGTAAAGTGGTACCTCAGGTTAAGAACAGTTTCAAGTTAAGAACGGACCTCCGGAAGTTCTTAACCAGAGGTACCACTGTAATGTGGGAGGAATTTGTGTCTGGGTTTGAGCTCTTGCACCAATATAGACTCTGCTCGGCCACAAATGTTCAGTTGAGCCATCACAGTGACGCTTGCTATAAAAATGAGCAAGCTGAGATTTGCATTCGGAATACATGAAATCTGTGTTTTATGCCTCTCTCAGCCACAATTTTGTCGTTTCTCAATCATTTTTTTTACAGTGGTGCAGGCATTGGTTTATATGCTACGGGTGAAGGAAACGAAACAAAGGACATTTTTATTTCCCCATTTACTTATTATTATTATTATTATTAAGCTTCCAAATCTCCCCAATCTTTGCTTGCGAGCAAAATTTTGGGCATATGCGAGCATGTTACATTTGCAAAAATCTGTGACACAGCCATTGGGGGGGGGGAGAGAATGGCATGAAAGCTTTTCTTCTTAATAATGCAGCACAGTCAAGACTGAAATTTCCTTGCTGTTTCCGAAAAAAAAGAAGCATTTTTTTTCCTATTGGTGCGTTTGACGCTAATTGTGGAGAAAATTGCTTTCTATACAGTACTTAAGAATTCATTCCGCTTTTCTTCTTTAGCTTCTTGAGAACTTGACAGGAGGCCTGGGGGGAAAGTTTACAACCACCCCTGTGTCTGCAATACAGAGTTGATCCCATTTAAATAGGCAATTCCGCTTGAGGAGAAAACAACAAAAGGCAGATCTGGATGTTATGGCAGACGTGGGGTGAACGTCGAAAATAGCAGCCCTACGTGTAGATCTTTCTGCTCGCCTGTACTTACACTCGCTCCGTAACATGACAGCATTGTGCTGGTTTCCTCACCTTCTTGCTTTGTACTATTGGCTGCTGTGGGGCAGGCAGCAGGATGGGGTTCACAATGAGGTAACAAGGAGGAGAAGGGAAAAAGAGGAGGGAGAAGGTGTCTTATCAGCCCAGTCTTATGACTCTTCCTCAGATGAGTGGTTGTGACCTTTAAACCCCTAAATGGCTTCACAGATGAGTGGTTGTGACCTTTAAACCCCTAAATGGCTTCAGCCCTGTATACCTGAAGGACCGTCTCCATCCCCATCGTTCCGCCCGGACACTGAGGTCCAGCTCCAAGGGCCTTCTGGCGGTTCCCTCACTGCGAGAAGTGAGGTTACAGGGAACCAGGTAGAGGGCCTTCTCGGTAGTGGCACCCGCCCTGTGGAACACCCTCCCATCGGATGTCAAGGAAATAAACAACTACAGTGGTACCTTGGGTTAAGTACTTAATTCGTTCCGGAGGTCCGTTCTTAACCTGAAACTGTTCTTAACCTGAAGCACCACTTTAGCTAATGGAGTCTTCCACTGCCGCCGCGCCACCGGAGCACGATTTCTGTTCTCATCCTGAAGCAAAGTTCTTAACCCAAGGTACTATTTCTGGGTTAGCGGAGTCTGTAACCTGAAGCGTATGTAACCTGAAGCATATGTAACCCAAGGTACCACTGTATCTGACTTTTAGAAGACATCTGAAGGCAGCCCTGCTCAGGGTTGTTTATAATGTTTGATGTTTTATTGTGGTTTTTATCATTTCTTGGAAGCTGCCCAGAGTGGCTAGGTCAACCCAGTCAGACACGAGGCATATAAATAATAAATTATTATAATTATTAACCATTAGATATGCTGGCTGCGGTCAGAGGAGATTTTAGGATATTGCAACATCGAGGTCTCCTCAACCTTCATTTCTGAGTTTCATTGGATGTTATAGGGAAGACAGAAAGAAATACACATTTGTCTGGCAATTTCAATAGCAGACCCATGATTGCCATAACATCTAGCTTCACCCAACGGTTCTAGCAAATGTGCTTATCTTTGCATTATGTTTGTTCCCTCCCCCCTTGCAGATTTTGCAAAAGGATCTTACAGATATGCACCAATGGTGGCCTTTTTTGCTTCGCATACCTATGGAATGAATACTCCTGGCCCTATTCGATTTAACAATCTGGATGTCAACTATGGGTCTTCCTATGTCCCAGCAAATGGACGGTTCCGTGTGCCATACCTTGGCATTTATGTCTTCGAATACACCATTGAATCAAACAGCCCGCTCCTCTCAGGCTACCTAGTGGTTGACGGAATAGACAAGCTGGGCTTTCGGTCTGAAAACACGAAGGAGAACAAATACCTGGAGAGAGTGGTTACTGGAGATGCCTTACTGGAACTGAACTACGGGCAAGAAGTCTGGCTCAGGCTGGCAACAGGCTCTATCCCAGCCAAATACCCACCTGTCACTACATTTACTGGCTACATATTGTACCGCACATAAATTCCATTCTATAGAAAAGCGGTCACTCACAATGGAAACTCTTCTCCTTTGCTTCTAATAAAAATAACTCCTGTTTGAGGCTGCCATCTTTTCTTTTAACAGCTGCATGATAGGCAGAAACGAGGCATGAAACCTCTTTCTCAAATCAGCATCTTCGTGCTGTAGGAAGCAACATTCTGCCTGCCACACAGATGTTAAAAGCAGGGAGGGCCTTGTGGAAAATAGGTGTTGAGGCCCATCTCATTAGATAGTTACCTGAATGTCAAATTCTGAAAACAGCCAGCTGTCCCATTGCACCTTTGATGGGCAAAATGGAGGTATTTGTAAATTGTTGTTGTTGTTTAGTCATTTAGTCATGTCCGACTCTTCGTGACCCCATAGGTCTCTCATAGTTCTAGGCACACCATCAGCTGAATGTCTCCAGTATGTCCATTATTTTTATGCAACTATTTTGCACCAGTATAAAAGAAATGTACAAGAAGTTATGCATGTTATCACCATTGTTTAAGTGAATTTGATTTCAGTTCCTTTCAAGATTCATGTGACGCAGGCCACCAGTGGGTAAAACTTAAGCCTTGCTTTTATGGTCCACCAGCCAGTTGTACAATAGTGGCTCAGGGTGGGGGCAGACATACACTAAGTTTTTAGGGACCTCTGAATGCATGCTTAAGTCTGGAACTGAGCTTACTGCCCTGTCACACAAGGATCCATTCCTGGATTCCCTCCCATTTTCCTTCAGTTCAGCCTTGAACTTCAGGGTGTGGAAAGCTTTTTTGTTGTTGCTCTTGTCAAGCTACTGAGATTCCAAAACATGTGTAGTGTCTACTGCAAATCACTCAGTAGATTCCTTCTGCCCACCCTGTCCTGGCATAGCCATTTGCTCATGTACTAGGCAGATTGTGATGACACCATTTTCGATTTTGGGAGGAAGCTGTTGGGATGGCGGGTGCCATCGAGCTGGGAAGGGCACCACCTTTGTCACTGGAATGGTTACATAAACAGACCAGCAGAATGGGACTGCATCACTGGGAGATTTTCCCAACCCAATGGGTCCACTTCTGTGAAAGGGGCCTGCTTAGGAAGCACCTAAACTTTTGAAACCCGGATCCAAAATGGCCAGATTTCATTAGGTTTCACTCTTCATTTGGTTACATAGAATACTTAGTTGAAGAAGCAATGTGCATATAGGCCAAATATAAACCATGCCTGCATATATACTCAATTGGCTTCCATTTAGTCTCACCACCACCCTTTCATTTTTCTTTGTTCATACCCAAATTTGTAGCCGGTCAGACATGTAAGGTATTCACATTTTACCTTGAAAAGATTCCATCTAAACAGCAGAATTCCAGGAAGTGTAACCTCTCTGTAATTGCAAACTTCCGATAAGTTTTTAATAAATTGTGCGGTGCACACTGAACAGATTAAGAAATCAATCAGAGCACAAAAAGAAATGTGATGCTATGAGGCAACTGAATGGAAGTAGTCGGGGCCAGGCCAAGACATTTTGGTGCCTGAGGCAAAGGACAAGAGAGTGCCCGCTCCCTGGTCCATGTGCAGAAACCAGCTGGGCTGCCACTTGAACCTTAACACTAGTGATGGAATAGTGTCATCCCATGCCGCCTGCCCAACACCTCTTTCTTGAGGGGTACACCTCCTGCTGAATGGTAGGGCCGGCCCTGATGGTAGTTTCTCTTGCTTTAAAAATAGCAGCAATAATTGTTGAGGTGGGGATATATATATATCTCCTAATTCAAGGGAGTTATATGGTTTACACAGTACACCACTCACAGGGGAGAGCTTTGATGAAAACCTGATCAACAATCCATATATTTAATCTGCAGCTCGTAAATTAGACAATTAATAGCACCAATTAAGGGGTTAACACATTCATCCCCCCCTCACTTCCTGCTGGGTCATATTCTCTGATAATGAATCCATGATGCCTAAAATGTTTGGCAAAAAAAAATGGGTGGGAGACTGCGGCAAAGGAACTGTATATTATTTACAACTGCTGTTGAGAATAACACTGGCTCAGCTCATGCTTTGCTTTTTTAATCCTGTCTTCTGTTTATAAAAGTAATCTCCAACACACCATGAACTCTGAATATATATATATATATATATATATATATATATATATATATATATTCCAACCATTTCTTTCATCAGCTGCACCTTATCTTTCTGTAAATACTTAAAATCCCCCATTTGTCACTAACCTATCCTAGCGTATCATTGAATTTTATCAAATGTCGTGCCCACATGGCTAAATCCCTCCCCACCCCTTGTATGACTTTGTCAGTTTAATAACCTGTTTAGCCCTCTTTATTCCTGCCATGGATAGGGCTAAATAGCGTGGAAATTACTCTGCGGATGAAATTCAAATGACCCACCAGAGACTGCGTCTCTCTCTTTAAATATGACTTTCACTGCCCTTCCTGCCCTCCCTGCTTAATCCTTCAAGCCAGGTCTCCATCTTCAGAGTTGCTAATTGTTTTCTTCTAAAGTCCATTTCTTGATAAGGCTATCTTGTTGTATATTTTCCTCCCTGATACCAACAAATTTCGTTTCCCCAGAGCAGACCTCTGACCTATAACCCTTTCAAATAAACGCATTTACTGAGCGTATACCTATAATGAAAACCACACCCAATTTGCTTATTGAAAAAATAACACCTATACACACTTCTCCATAGTTGTCCTCTTGAAGCTTGTTGGTTACGAGTAATAATTTAACAGATGGCTATTAAGACAACATAATGTTTCCAAGAGCGATGCAAGTCTTTTGAGAGTTCTGTTGGACACATCTTTTTATTATTATTATTCTTTTGGAATAAACAAGAATTAACAAAACCAAAAAACACCACATCTGCAGTCTTTGTCATGTCAGTTTGCGTACAGAACACACAGCAAGCACAATTTGTGGACACCTCCAGGACCCCAGCATTAATTAATGGCCCCTTCAAATTAAGGCATCCCCCCAAAAATGAATATTGAGCAAATTGGCTTCTGGCTCCTCCTCCTCCACTACCTATTAACAAATGTTACATCTTCAACTCCTCCTCCCAGTCTGCTCCATCTCCCCTCTCTGACCGCACATCGCCTTCTTCCCTTGGGGGTTCCCCAGCTGGTGTCTCCCACCAGTCCTCTGCATCCAGCCAGTCCATGACCACAACATCCCCTTTGCAGATGTCTCTGCTAACATGCAGTTAGATATAGGTAAGAGGTCCCATCACCCCCTGGCAAATAGAAGGGGAAGAAATGGAGGCAGTGAGAGATTTTACTTTCTTGGGCTCCATTATCACGGCAGATGGTAACAGCAGTCACAAAATTAAAAGACACCTTCTTCTTGGGAGAAAAGCAATGACAAACCTAGGCAGCATCTTAAAAAGCAGAGACATCACCTTGCCAACAAAGGTCCATATAGTTAAAGCTATGGTTTTCCCACTAGTGATATATGGAAGTGAGAGCTGAACCATAAAGAAAGCTGATCGCCAAAGAATTCATGCTTTTGAATTATGGTGCTGGAGGAAACTCTTGAGAGTCCCATGGACTGCAAGAAGATCAAACCTATCCATTCTTCAGGAAATCAGCCCTGAGTGCTCACTGGAAGGACAGATCCTGAAGCTGAGGATCTGTCCTTCCAGCTGAGGCTCCAATACTTTGACCACCTCGTGAGAAGAGAAGACTCCCTGGAAAAGACCCTGATGTTGGGAAAGATTGAGGGCACAAGGAGAAGGGGACAACAGAGGACGAGATGGTTGAACAGTGTTCTTGAAGCTACTAACATGAGTTTGACCAAACTGCAGGAGGCAGTGGAAGACAGGAGTGCCTGGCGTTCTCTGGTCCATGGGGTCATGAAGAGTCGGACACGACTAAATGACTAAACAACAACGACAAGAGGGGCCAGCAGGAGGTGTTATGTTATTTCCTGTTCCCTGCACATGAGAAGCTTATACTTCTTCTCTTCTTTGGCAATCACTCATAGCCAAGTAAGATTGTCTTCCATGAACACGGTCTTAACAGTGGGAGAAACTTATAAGCACAGCCTAAATAAGTCTATAGTTTAATATGGTCCCTACCATCTATTGGTGATTCTGCAACAATACATAACTCCATTAATAAAACTCCATTAATAAAAAATAAAATAACTGGGATGGTGTCTGTTGTTCTTAAGCAAATTATAGATGCTTTCGGCATTGCTGTATCCCAAATTGATCTCGACTTGAATTCTGTGCTGATTTTCAGCTGGCAGTGCAGAGACACTGGAAGGAGAAACTTCTTTTGTCTGCTGATGTTCCCTTATCGGAAGGAACTAATTGGAGATCGTAAATCGCTAACAGTAAGCTAAGCCCAGCTTGCTGTGTCACCCATCAATTGCAATCCCATTAAAACAGCCCTATTGCAGCACACATCATCAGGTGCATAGAGATGTATTAGTAATGCTGTCTCTGTGGCAGCTGGATAAACCTTAGCATAATGCAAAGGTGATCGTCCCCAGCCCTGTTCCCATCATGATTAAGGATGGGGAGGAATTTGGTTCAGTTCACATTTCAATGTGAATCCATCTATTGGCACGTCCCAAGAACTAAAATGCTGCTGTCCTTCCAAGTTCACACCTCTGAATTTTGCAATTCAGTTCTAAAAGGAGAAGAAGTCTATATTAGAGGTAAGTATGCATGGAAATGCAGACATTCATGTGAAAATGCAGGACGCCAAAAATGCATTAAATCAGCTTGCAAAAATGTGCACATTACGACAAAGTTGCATACAAAAAAAATGTACCTATTAATGAAAGGCACATTGAAATGCTGGTGAATTTTCAGGAGGATTTAAAAAATAATCCACAAACCGATGCAGAAATGTAATGAACTGAATTTAGTAAAGGTAAAGGGACCCCTGACCATTAGGTCCAGTCGTGGCCAACTCTGGGGTTGCGGCGTTCATCTCGCTTTATTGGCTGAGGGAGCCGGCGTACAGCTTCCGGGTCATGTGGCCAGCATGACTAAGCCGCTTCTGGCGAACCAGAGCAGTGCACGGAAATGCCGTTTACCTTCCCGCTGGAGTGGTACCTATTTATCTACTTGCACTTTATGCTTCTGAACTGCTAGGTTGGCAGGAGCAGCGACCGAGCAACAGGAGCTCACTCCGTTGTGGGGATTCGAACTGCCAACCTTCTGATTGGCAAGTCCTAGGCTCTGTGGTTTAACCCACAGCACCACCCACGTCCCTGAACTGAATTTAAAATGGGATAAATATCTGACCATGCACATTGCTACCAAGCCACACCCAACTGCAGACGTGGCTCCCTTAATGCTGTACCATCAATCTACACTGTTGTGCTAGAGAACCATCCTAGATTGTCTCCCAAAATGGCACCACAGCCCATTTCCTTACTGGGTCCGGCTCACTTCTTTTACCATTACAGCAAGTCTAGGAACAGGGGAGGAGGGCTACTAGGCCTATCGACACCTTGGCCTCAGGAAGCATTTGTCATTGACCATAGCTGCAGATCAATAAAATCGGTCAGGCTAACCATTATGCAGAAGAGAGTGAAATCAATCACCCCAGCTTCCTGCGGATCTTTCTCTCCACCTTCCCAGCTTCCCCATTGCTACTGTCTTTAAGCATAAGTGCAAATAGCCTCTCCTGCAGCACATTCATTTTATGCTTTCCCTGATAATCCAAGTGTGAGCGCTTATCTCTTCCCCAAAGCTCAAAAAAACAGTAGCCAAGTCCGGCATCCGGCACATAGCAGGCTGCCTCCTCTGTATATTTGGATAGCCCAATTACCATGGCAACATTTTTATCTGCTTTGGCTTTGACAAGCCCATCCAATTTATCGTGGCGCTTTGCACGATTCTTTCCTCACTTATGCCAAGTGAGCCATCCTTGAAAGTGTTTGTCAGCACGTCACTTTTCCAAACACTTTGTTGCAAGCTGCATGTTTTACAAGAAGCAAGATATCCTATTTCCCTGGCTTAACAGTACCAGTTGCACACTTTATTTACAAGCCCCCAGTAGTAAAAAAATAATAATAATGAAAGAGAATGGGTGACGTTGAACATAGTTATCTGGACAGATGGCTACCTTCATGGAATAGAGATGTGCAAATCTGTCAATTTCAGTTTCTCTTAATCTCTCCTTTTTCAACTCTTCAGTTTTCCACATTTCTTGATCAGTTTGTGACTTTTTAAAAAAAAAGTCCTCCTGAAAATTAACCAGCATTTTATTTCAAATTTCTCCTCATATACACATATCCAATTTTCCTAATATACATGTTTTGCAAAGCAATGCTATTATTATTTGTCATTTTTTTTCAAAAAAAAAGTGAATGCAAAGTGACTTTTAAAACAACCCTTAAAATCAAGTATAAAAATCAGAGTGAAAACATCCTAAAATGCTCACCAAAAATGTATACAGACTCATAGAAATGTAGAGTTGGAAGGTACCCTGAGGATCATCTAGACCAACCCCTGCAATGCAAGAATCTCAACTAAAGCATGCATGACAAATAAATAAATGATGCTCCACACATGTATATCAGCTTCACTAGTATGTGCATTAGTAAGCACACTTTAACTTGATATATCCACTCTGGTATACACTGCTTGACGGGACTACTGCATCTCAGAAGTCAGAGAAGTGCAAATTTTGTAGGATGGCTGTGTTTTGGTTCACATATTGTTCTGGAAAGCATGAATCAGATTTACCTTTAAATGTAAACTGCACTGAATTTATCCCTCAACCTATCCATTCTGAAGGAAATCAGCCCTGGGTGCTCACTGGAAGGACAGATCCTGAAGCTGAGGCTCCAGTACTTTGGCCACCTCATGAGAAGAGAAGACTCCCTGGGAAAGATCCTGATGTTGGGAAAGATGGAGGGCACAAGGAGAAGGGGACGACAAAGGATGAGATGGCTGGACAGTGTTGTTGAAGCTACCAGCATGAGTTTGACCAAACTGCAGGAGGCAGTGGAGGACAGGAGTGCCTGGCGTGCTCTGGTCTATGGGGTCACAAAGAGTCGGACACGACTAAATGACTAAACAACAACAAAACTATAGAAAGAATGGAGCCAATTGCAATAAGTGGAGCCGCTCTCAATAACAAAGCTAACCTCCCAAGAAAGAAAAATCTGGAGGCTGTGATTGTGACAAGTAAATAGATGACAATGTGAAACACTAATTTTTGCAGTGAAAGTTGAAATGAACTTGGTGGGATGTTTGTTACATTTCTTTAAGAACACTGTGAAGAGTATGCCAGCAGGGAAACAAATCCCAGTGTTGCGCATTCTTACCATTGCAAAAATTCCGCTTACCTTCAGCGATAACATGGGGTTGCAGTACAGCGATGCCCCCAAATTCTCTACTGGCTCTTACAGCTGGGTCCCTCAGCTGGCAGAAGATGCAACAGCGTCTCCCGCCAGCTGAGGAATTTTGAATTTGGCCCGACAGCAGATTAGCCTATAGCAGGCGGGTTTTGGGACGGGCATGCTCTGGGGGGGCAAGAGCTGAGTGGGCCCCTTGAGGACTTCACTCAGGTCTGCTCCCCGGGGGTAAAAAGAGTGCCAGTCCCTCAGCCGGCACTCAGTCTGGAGACCGTGGAAATGTAATCAAAGACT